CTCCAAGACTACAGCCTTCCATATGGAACACATCTCAACATCAAGAAAACAAACATCCTTACCCCTGGGCTGAAATCAGCACCATCATGATAGATGGGGAAAAAAATTCAACTGTCAATTGTTTCATCTTACTTGAATCCACAATCAACATCCTTGGTACCAGCAGTAGTAGAGCTCTGAGAAATTCTGTTGTCAGGACCCTCTCCAACATACTGGAGAGTAATGCTATCACTTTGAAGACTAAGGCACACCTGATTCAGGCCATGGTCTTTTCAATTACTCACTATACTTTTAAGACGTAGATAATGAATAGGGATAACAGAATGAGAATTGATCTTTGAGTTGTGGTGTTGGAGAGGAGTGCTGAATATCCCATGAACTGCCAAAAGAACATGTCTTGGAAAAGGTGCTCCTTGAAAGCAAGAGAAGTGACGCTTCATCTCTCATACTTTAGATATGTTGTAGGAGAGGCTATTCCTTTAAAAGAGACATGGGAGGGCCAGTGAAAGAGATGAAGATGCTCAAGGACTAACACGGTGACTGCAGCAACGGAGTCAAGTGAATTAGTGATACGGAGGATGGCAGAAGATAGGACTGGATTTAGGGCTGTTGTTCACAGAGTTGCTATGAGTCATATTCGACTCAATGGCATCTAACAACAATAACAACAACACAGGCGGCTAATCCTGTTGAAAAGCAGGAAAAACCCATTTTGTACAGAACAAGAAAGAGCTTAGGACGTCCATATCCTCTAGAAATAACAATCATCAAGTACGCCTTCTTCTTTTTAGAAGAAAATGGAAGGAGATGGAGTAACTTCCAGTGCACAGTGTCACCCAATCCCAAAATATTTATACTTTTTCAAATATCTTAATATTTTAAAGCAAATCTACAAGGTATTGGCCATTGTACAACTCAACGAAATCCCTGATGCTTTCAATGTAGCATATTCCATTCTTAACCCGATTTTGGCATTGAGAATACCATGGACTGCTAGAAAAACAAACAGATTTGTCCTGGAAAGGGTTAAACCAGGTGGCACCTTGAAGGCAAGGATTCTGAGGCTCCGTCTAACATACTTTGGACAAGTTGTGAGGAGAGACCAGTCCTTGGAGAAGGACATCATGCTTGGGAGGGTGGAGGGACAGCGCAGGAGGGGAAGGCCTTCTATGAGGTGGATTGATTCAGTGACTGGGATAACCGGGTGGGAGTGTCAGAGACAGTGCGATTGGCACAGGACAGAGCAAAGTTTAGGGCTGTTGTACATAGGGTCGTTATGAGTTGCAAGCGACTCGACGGCACATAACAACAACAACAACATCATCATCTTGAAAATGACAAGCAGGTTATTTTCCAAATAAATATCTGACTGGAAAAAGTTCCAGAGCTCAGAGCACAGATCAGGTGATAGGTGGCTATCCATTTGTTTTTGCTCCTTTGGAAAAGCAGCTGTAAATGTCAGTTTCTGTGTGGACAGGGGCACCAAATGTTCTGCCATGGATATCGAGAGGAGCCTTGCCCAGTGCTGTGAGAGTCATCAAGTGCACCAGAGCCAGGGGTTGAATCATGCCCTTATGTTTATCAAGGAGCAGAGCAGTGCCTCCACTGTTGGGCTCAGAGCTCTGCAATGTGGCAATGTCTGAGCGCCCACATCCTGAGGCCTTGGTGTTCCACATTGTTCCACACCCTGTGCAGATTCAGGATGATCCTCATGGTCCATGGGATATTCAGCACTCTTCTCTAACACCGCAACTCAAAGGCATCAATTCTCCTTCTATCTTCTTTATTCACTGTCCAGCTCTCAGATGCATAGCAAGTGATCAGAAAAGACCATGGCCTGAATCAGATGCACCTTAGTCTTTAAAATAACATCATTACTCCTCAATAATTTGGAGAGGTCCCTAACTGCAGACTTTCCCAGTACAATAAGTCTCCTGATTTCCTAACTGCTAGTTGTTGTTGTTAAGTGCCGTCAAGTCATAGGCAACTCATAGCAACCCTATGAATGAAAGTTTTCGACACTTGCGTGACTTTCATCCTTTCTCCAGGTTCATAGGTTTTCCAGAGGCAAGCGATTTACAGAAGTGGATGCCACTCCTGCTTCCAAGCTTGTTTTAACTAGGGAGCTCCACCAAATACTGTCCACCATGGGCAACCATTATCGCATTTGACACATCAGTGTCACAGTGTTCAGCTTCACAGCAACCACAAGTTACATCTGTATGGAAAGTGGACAACTGTTAGTACCAAATGTATTAATTGTGGATCCCAGTAAGATGAAGTTGCTCATAGTTTCAATCTTTCCTCCATCCATGATGATACGGCCTACAGCTCTAGTGACTTAAACTGAGTAGATTCAGCAGCAAAAAGTTGGGAATCTCACCACCAGCAAGAAAGAAAAAATAGAGAATATAGCAAGCATCCTTAGAGGCCAAAGATGTCTGCTTCATTCACTCTGGGACCTACAGGAGCACCAGAGAGCCAGAGACCCAACATGAGACAGACCCACCTGGGGGTCTCCAGAGAACCATGACAGGGGCCTCTGCCCAAACTTGCTGGAATACTGGTATGGGGGCCATTTTCACTGGCAAGTCTAAGAGAGCTTTGTAACACTGGCCTAAAACCGCAAGGCTGAAGGCTAAAGGGCGTGCAAACACTTCACAAGCTGTCCTGAGAAGTTGTATCCTGTTATTATAACTTGTTAACTTCCCTGAAAAACCACACAATTGTGAAAAATATTTTTTAAAAAGAATGTTTATCAAGGAGCAGAATGAGAGTAGTTCTTCACTTACTAAGCAGAAATTTGTTAGATTTACAGAGGATAAGTCTTGAAATGTTGACCAAAATTTGGGCATATATTTCATTTTAAAAATACATTAAAGGGAGCTCTCATGGTCTAATGGCAAGAAGTTGCACTGAAATCCTGAGGCGCATGGTTCAAATCCACCAGATGATCTGCTGGAGAAGGAGCAATCTCCTGCTGTGCCAGTCAGGTCTGATTCAACAGCTGACAATAAGGATGGGGGGAGGGGAACCCCAAATATTAAAAAAATCCTCTTTCTCATGGTTTAGTATAATTGGGCAATACTTTTAACCATATTATTTGGTGAAAGTCCTTCAGCTAGCATCATGAACACTTCTGCTTTAGAAGGCTGGTCATAGAAGAATGTCCCAACACTGAAGAAAAGCCTCCTGTATCCCAGAGTTAAAGGTGACCATCTTTGTTTCAATTTCTCTGCAGGCAGAAGGTTACTTCTGATCAAGATAATATCAAGCTTGAAACCAGGAATTATCAGACATCAATTATGTGGACTTTGCCAAAGATAATAAACACATTGCACAGAAACAAAGAAAAGTATTCTAAATGAATTCAACTATTTCTCAATTCAAGCCTACCCTCCATGTAGCCAAATGTGGCAGGGAGCCCTGATTCCATCTAACATTGAGTGATTTTTACAAGACAGGATTTTGTCACCAAAACAAAACAGAAATAAAACTGATTGACTCAAACACAGCACAAATATTGGCAAATCAAAACCACTCAAGACATTCTCCTAGCTCTTAAAGGCAAACTTTGAGAGTCTTCACATTGAAAGGTGGTGAAAAACTAAAATGAAGTTCATGTTTCTCTTTCCTTTGGAAAAGTTTCTTTTATTTCCTTTACCCATGAAGTAAGTATTAAGTTTTATAATATAAGTGAGCAAAAGAGAGGTGGTTATTATTGTTGTTGTTTATAGTTCTGTCAGAACTGACCCAGAGCCAACCCTCCAGTGAGTTTTTCAGAGGCAGTTTAACTGTACGAGAGAAAATGGCTCATCTTTTTTCCACAGAGGAGCAGTGGATTTGAACCATGTATCTTTGGGTTGGCAATGCAATTCCTTACCACTAAGTTACCAGAGCTCCCTAAAAGAGAGGCAGGCTGGTAAATAGTATCTCTTCTGTTTTTCAATGTGTAAAGAAAATAACTGTCTAATCTAACTAAATTTTTCTGCAAGTTCACAGCTTTTCTCAGTCTCCAAAAGATCTTTTTAGCACCAACCTCCCCACCACTCTTGCCCCCAACCAAAAAAGACCTTTTGGAGACTCTGGACAATAACTAAGGATTACAGAAGAATTGATGCCTTTGAGCCGTAATGTTGGAGAAGAGTGACCGAATATCCAATGGACTGCCAAAAGAACAAACAAGGTATGTCTTGGAGAAGGTGCATCTGGAATGCTCCTTTGAGGCAAAGATGGCAAAACTTCATCTCCACATACTTTGGGCACATTTCTAGGAGAGGATATTCCCTGGAGAGGGACATCATGCTTGTGGAGGTGGAGGGTCAGTGAAAGAGAGGAAGACCTACAACCAGTTGGCTTGGCACAGTGACTGCTGCAATGGATTAAAATATGTCAGAAATTATGAGGATGGCAAAAGACAGGACAGGGCTCAGGTTGTACTCAACTTGATGGCACCTAAAAACAGACAAGAAGTCTATGATGCAAAAATTCAGATGTGGGAAAGGGAATTCTTTATTTATATATTCACCTTATGTAACATACATACACAACCTCTCAAAAACAATTCAAGAACTATATGGAAGAAAATGAAATTGTAACATTTATTATAAAATATCAATAAATATTTACCACATTCCAAGTTGAAAAAAACCTTTCTGGACAAAAAAGGAAGAGGAAAACTGGCGTTAACATATATTAAATTTGTCTGTGTATATATAAGTAAGATTATTATTTTGACAGGGAGCTCTAGTGGCCTAATGGGTAACTAATGCTAACTCAAAGGCAATTGGTTCAAATCCACTAGCTGCTTCCACAGAAGAGGAACTGACAGTCTCCTCTTGTGAGATTTACTGCCTTTGAAAACCCACTGGAGAGTGAGCTATAAGTCAGTTCTGACTCAACAACACATAACAACCACACAGCAATCATTTGGACACAAAAGCTCCCATTTGGACTCAATGGGGGGGTGTGTTTCGGGGGGAAGAAACAGGTCTGTTTACCTGATGGTTCTCCACACGTCGAAACCGTCCAGGGGCTTGGTGCCATTCGTATGTCCTCCTGCCAGCTTCACTAGAGTGGGCAACCAATCAGAAATGTGGATGAGCTCCCGGTTCGTCACTCCCTTCTGTTTTAGCAAAGGGCTGGCCACGAAGCCCACCCCACGAACGCCGCCTTCCCACAGGGTCCATTTTCTTCCTCGGAGGGGCCAGTTATTGCCCCCAGCCAATGTCTGTCCTCCGTTATCTGAAATAGAATTAGTTCTTGGCATGAGGACAATGTAAACCACTAAATATATTTAAGGTACCTGGTACCATGACTGACCAATCTAAAAGGGACCAGAATAGAAGATTCTGGATGTAGCTGCAGGAATGTGGGGGTGGGAGTGGTGAAAAAGGTTAAAAACACACACAAAAAAAATTTCATGCTTACTGATGAAACTGGAGGAAATCCCCCAACCAGGCCCTTAGTCACCTTTTGAACCTAGTACAAAACTCATCTCTGTGCTGCACACTTCAGCCCTTGAGTTGAGAACAACTCATAACAACCCTATGAACAACAAATCTGAACCATGTCCTACCCTGTGCCGTCCTCACAAGCTGACACATCGAGCCTACTGTTGCAGTCACCATGTCAATTCATTTCACTCAGGGTCTTCCTCTCTTTTACTAACCCTCTACTTTTTTTTTTTTTAAGTCAGAAATTTATTTAACCATTCTATTATAATTAAACGTCAAAGTTATTTACAATTTTTATTACATAAAATATTGTTAGGAACTTACTTATACATTTGTCCTTCCACAGTCCTTAAAGTTTAAATGAGGGCAGATGCCTGGGAGTAGAATTGCAGAATTAAAGGATACATTTTTTTCTATTTTAATAGAAAAATTACCAAAACCTCTTCCCTGAGGAGAGGAACGATATAAATTTACACTTTAACTCACATTATATGAGAGAAAATGTGGAACTTTTGCAACACCAATTCCTCAAACTATTAATTTGCCATCTTAAATGTCATTTTTCTTATCAAAACTTCTTGATAGTCAATAAAAACTTTCTGTCACTTTTTTAAAATTTATTATTAATTTCAATGAAAATTTACAGAGACTTTGGATTTCCATTCATTCACTGTTGCACTTTTCTCTCCTCCCAACCCTCCCCGCTAGTACACTCCCCTCTTGGAAAAGTAAAAGACAAATTCTTTCATTGTTTTATAATCCCTCCCCCCAGGTCCACTCCACTACGCAGCCTTCGCTCTGGACTCCTGTCATCACAAAAATACCTAATCACATATTCCTTTTAAATAGTTTTCTCCCTCATCTGTTTCAATGCAGTATACATTATTGAACCTATCTTTCTCAGTCTCCCTCCAACCCCAAGGCCAGTCTTGTTTTACAACAGTGGCACCATGCAGTATTTGTCCTTATGTGACTAAGATACTTCACTCAGCATAATGTCCTCCAGGGTCACCCATTATCTCATGAGTTCCTTGATTTTCAATGCAGTGTAGTATTCCATTGTGTGACTATATCACAATTTCTCTATCCATTCGTTTGTTGATGGGTCTGTCACTTTTGAAGCTTTGTCAGAGGCTCTTACTGAACTACCCCTCACTTTACCTTACTAAGAAAGTGCTGGCACTCCATTGCCAAGGAACTCCAGCTGAGTCTTGCTTCTTGCAATTTGGGTGCCTCAAAACACTCATTTCTCCAAATTATAATTTCTCTATTTATATTCATGTAACCCTCCACTTTTCAAGGTATGATGTCACTTTCCACGGAATTGCCCCTCCTAACAACATGCCCATTATATGTGAGATGAAACTTCATCATCCTTGCCTCTAATGAGCATTCTGGTTGCACTCTTTCCAAGACACATCTGTTCTTTTAGCGGTCCATAGGGATATTCAGTACTCTTCTCCAGCACCACAACTCAAAGGCATAGATTCTTCTTCTTTTATCCTTATTCACCATCCAGTCCTCAGATGCATAACAAGTGATATAAAAGGCAATAGCTTGAATCAGGTGTACCTTAGTCTTTAAATGCACATCACTGCTCCTGAGTATTTTGGAGTGATCCTTGACAACAGATAGACAGGTACATTTGTTACTGCTGTTATTTGCTCTCTAGAGGCAGAAATGACTCATGGCTGACCTTCCAGTGGATTTCTGAGCATGTAAATTGCATGGAAAAAGATTGCTCATCTTTCAGCCTTGGAGTGCCAGGTAGATTCAAACTGCCCCAGAGACATGGCCAATGGGTTAGCAAAGGAACTCTTTACGGATGAGGCCAACTGAGTTGACACCAAGGAGGCATTCACTCTAGAATAAGCAAGTATGAAAGGTCAGGCCAGCAGCATTTGCCCAAGGAAATGCTTTCTAAGCCTTGAATGCAGGGAGGAATAGAACAGAAACGATTCCCTTAAGTTCTTGAGAAGGGAGGCCACAGATACAAAGCTTTGCCCAGACCTGCCCCTGCTGCCTGCAGAAAAAAAAATTTTAACATTTAAGTTGGGAACTGAATTAGCATTCTACTCCCTGGTGATCTGAACTCTTTCTTAATTGTCAAAGTTGAAGAATTCTCTAGTGGGCTAAATGTCTCTGTCAACAGAGCAGTCAGCTGGAAAAATAATTGCAAGAAAAATTCCTCCCTTCTTAAAAGCATGGCAAGATAGAGAGCAGAGTGCATGTTGCCAGGAAAGAAAAGGGTTCTTTTCCAAGACAACAAAGGCAACCTGGCTCTTGGAAAAGATAAGTTACCAGAAGGACTGCAAATATCTCACTAGTTAGGTGAGGGCTCAGGGTCCAAGTAGATATTGACAAGTGATATTACCTGTACACTGAGATTATGCATGATGTCCTTCTCTAAGGACTGGTCCCTCCTTGCAATATTCCCAAAGTTTGTCAGATAGAGCTAAGCAAGCTTTGCCTCCAAGGACCAGCCTGGCTTTACCCTCTCCAGGACGAATCTATTTGTTCTCCTGGCAGTCCATGGTATAGTAAATACTCTTCTACACCACAACTCAAAGTAATCAATTCTCCTTCTATCATCCCTAGTCATTATGCAATTACACTAGCTTTAAAGGTATCCATACATTTAGGTGACTTTAGAGAAAGATTTTTAAATAAAATTTATTTGCATGTGCATTTCACTTTGTTGTTGTTATTGTTATGTGCTGTCGGGCTGCCTGTGACTCCCAGTGACCCTATGTACAACAGCCATAAACCCTGCTCTATCCAGTGCCAATCTTATCGTCTCTGACACACCTACTCCCATTACCCCAGTCACTGAATCAGTCCCTCATATCAAGGGTCTTCCTCTCTTGCGCTGTCTCTCCATGCTCCCAAGCATGACGTCCAAGGATTGGTCTTTCCTCACAACACGTCCAAAGTATGTCAAATGAAGCTTCAGAATCCTTGCCTCCAAGGAGAAGTCTGGTCTCAGTCTCTCTAGGACGAACCTGTTTGGTCTCATAGTAGTCCACGGTATATTCAATACTCTTCTCCAGCACCACAGCTCATAGGCAACAATTTTCCTTCTAGCATCCCTAGTCATCCCAATTTTCTGATGCATAGCAAGTAACTGCAAACATTATGACCTGAATCTGGTGCACCTTAGTCTCCAGACTGACATTATTGCTCTTCAGTACTTCGGAAAGGTCTCTGACAGGCCTATTTTCCCAATGCAATTCATCTTCTAATTTCCTGGCTTCTGGTACCAAGAGTGTTGATTGTAGAGCCAAGCAAACTAAAGCTATTAACAATCTCAATCTCTTCACCATCTATCATAATACTGCTGAACGGCCCAATGGTGAGAAACTTTGTCTTCTTGATGCTGAACTTCAGTACATATTGGAGGCTGCAGTCCTTGACATTCTGCAGCAAGCACTTCAGGTCCTCCTCAGTTTCAGGAAGCAGGGTTGTGTCATCCGCATAATGCAGATTGTTGATGAGTCTTCCTCCAATCCTGATGCCACATTTCTCCTCTCAAAGCCCAGCCTCCTGGATAATCTGTTCTTCATATAGATTGAAAAGGTATAGAGATAGGAAACATCCCTGGTGTACACCATTCCCAATTTTGAACCATGCAGTGTTTCCTTGCTCTATTCTGAAGACTGCCTGCTGGTCCAAGAGGATATTGCATGGCTTAAAATCAGGAAAGGTTTTTGTCAAAGTGGCATCCTTTCACTATATCTATTCCATCTGCATGCTGAGCAAATAATCCAAAAAAAGTGTCCTAGATGGAGGATCATGTAGCATCAGTATGGGAGGAAGACTCATCGCAAAGCTGGGATATGAAGACGATATATATTTGCTTGATGAAAGTGAAGAGGACTTGAAGTACTAACTGAAGAAAATCAATGGCTCTAACCTTCAGTATGGATTATACCTCAACAAAAACAAAAGTCCTCATAACTGGACCAATAAGCAATATCATAGTAAGTGGAGAATAGACTGAAGTTGTCAATAATTTTTTTTAAGACTTTAATTTTATTTGGCCTTCACAGTCAACACTCATGGAAGCAGCGTCAAAAATCAAATGATGCACTGGGAAAATCTGCTGCCAAGTACCTAGTTAAAGGGCTAAAAGATAGGCTGTCACTTTAAAGACCAGGGTGCCGTTTAGTCAACCCACGATATTTTCATTTGCTTTCCACGCATGTGAAAGTTGGACAATGAACAAGGAAGGCCAAAGAAGAGTTAATGCCTTTCAATTGTGCTGCTGGTGACAAGTATGGAAAATACTATTTTGTACGTACAAATCTATTTTGCAAAGAGCACAGCCAGGGTGCTCCTTAGAAGCAAAGATTAGGTGACTTCATCTCACATATTTTGGGCATGTTATAAGAAGAGGCCAGGCCCTGCGAAAATATATCAAGTTTGGAAAAGTAGAAGGTCCATGAAAGAGGGAAAGACTCTCCCAAGGAGATGGACTGACACAGTAATGAACAACAAGCTCAAGCCCAGCTGAGGCTGTCAGGTGGGTGTAGGATTGCCCGGGGCTTTGTGTGCTGCACACAGGGTCACTATAAGTTGGAGCTGACTAGCAGGACCTAACAACAATAACTACAACAACAACTACCAGGGGTGGAAATGCAAATTCTTAGCAAGGGACTGAACTTTAATCTCTCACTTTAAAGCCCTGAGGGCATTGCATACAGCTGCCTCAAGAACAGAGGCACCTTGAAAGGAAGGCCCGGTGATCTACTTCTAATAAAGCTCAGAAAGGTTTAAAAAAAGCACTAG